GGTCAAGTCAAACAGACAACATGATATAACCTGACCTGACCTGACCTGAAAAAAAATTTCAGGTCAGGTTTATCAATTAACCTGACCTGACCTGACCCATTCGGAGCTCTAATCCGTTCATCGTCAAAACTATATAATCTCTTTGCCACCTTCATTCGGCAGATTTTCTTCTAAAATACGTTATAATTTGAATAAAATTCAATATATAATCAGAATAAAATTCAGCATAATAATTATAAATCATTACTAACGTCGTGTACTTGATTGTTTGAGTGCACCCAATGTTTATTTTCATCAGCTTTTCCCATATCCATTAATCTTTAATGAGAATGATAAGACTTGTGGAGAGAACCCAACCATTTTGTAAGTTGCTTATTTGAAGCGGAAAAATACAGAGTAAGGGCTGAACGCAATTCAGGGACTAGATTACGACGAATCTTGAGATTTTTCGCGTTATTGAACATTTCATTATAATCTAGTCCTCGAGTTTCATCAATGGTTTTCAAAATAGACTTCATTTCAGCCTAAATATAACAATCAAATAAAGATAACCAGTACTTAATTACTCAATATTGCAATTTTAAATAACTGAATCAGACAAATAAAATTAATATACCCTAGCTTCTTTTTCGTCGTACTTATCATTATTGTTAGAACCAGACCCTTCTTCCTCCAATTCTTCCTCATACCACTCGAACTTTTTTGTCTTAATTCTTTTTGACATTTTGCCAGCTGTTCGAGATCCATCTGCCTATAAATAGCTTTAGGCAGGCAGATTCTCGAATACCTGTTTAAGCTTTTGCGTAAATTGTCATTCTCGTCTGCAAAGGCCTTATTTACTCAAGTCAAAAAACGATTTTTATCAAATAATCAGTTGTTTTTAGGGATGGGGAAGTTCGCCGGTTGAGCAGTTCGAACCTGGTTCAGAACCAAAAACAAAACTGGAACTGTGAACTAGTTCAAACTGAACTGCGGATCAGTTCGGTTAAACCGATCACGTGATGTTATACAATCCAAAAAAGGAAATTCAACTCCTTATAAAAACGGAAATTGAGTTACATGAAATTCAAAAAAGGAAATTTTCATGCAGATCATTTGATTCTGGCCAGAATTATCATAACTGTTCATCAAATTTGAACCAACTAGAACCGTTTAGCAGAACCAAACTGAAACCGAACCGCTCAGAACCGTTTTTTGAGCAAACTATTTTAGAATCGGTTAAACCACTTAGCAGAATTGGAACCAAACTGATGGAACTGTCCCCATCCCTAGTTATTTTCGTATTAAAGCCTTGCATTCTCTACTTGTACTTCATCAATTTGTTTCTTTAATTTTAGATTTTCTAAATAAAGAATTTTATTAATAGTAATATTTTTTTATGAATAATTCTGAATTTATACGAATGAAGTCAAAATCGTACTTGCTTCTAAATTAGTATCGTCGTCATCGATTATCTTTTCATTACCTTGATCATCTTTAACCACTAATACAAATTTTTGTGAAATTCGAATATTCCCATATTGTTTTTTCATTTCTGATAACATTTCTTGTTGATCTATAAAAATTATTAATTATCATACATGTTAATTAGCAATTTTCCAAAATTCAATTACCTTTAGGAATATTTGGCAGTTCAATTTCTATAACCTCATTGTCAAACTCTTCTTGAGTCAACTTGATCGACTTTACAGATTTGAGGATCAACTTGATGGGTGCCAATTTGCTAGTCGACTTATTGGTCTTGTCACTCGTCTCATTCAGATCACTTTCTTCTTCCGTTCTTTCCCGTTGACGATTAGATTCTTCGCTTGGTGTTTTTTCTTGAAACCTTTGCTATTTTTGTTTGTTTGACTTAGTGAGTGCTGATTTGCTAGTCAACTTATTAGTTTTGTCACTCGTCTCATTCAGATCACTTTTTTCTTCTGTTCTTCCCCGTTGACGTTTAGATCCTTTGCTCGGTGTTTCTTCTTGAAACCTTTGCTGCTTTTGTTTGTTTGACTTGATGGGTGATAATTTGTTAGTCGACTTATTGGTCTTGTCACTCGTCTTATTCAGATTACTTTCTTCTTCCGTTCTTTTCTGTTGATGATTAGATCTTTTGCTTGGTATTTTTTCTTAAAACCTTTGCTGCTTTTGTTTGTTTGACTTGATGGGTGCCGATTTGCTAGTCGACTTATTAGTTTTGTTACTCATCTTATTCGGATCACTTTCTTCTTCTGTTCTTTCCCATTGATGCTTAGATCCTTCGCTCGGTGTATCTTCTTGAAACCTTTGCTGCTTTGTTTGTTTGACTTGATGGGTGATGATTTGTTAGTCAACTTATTGGTCTTGTCACTCGTCTCATTCAGATCACTTTCTTTTTCCATTCTTTCCTGTTGACGATTAGATCTTTCGCTTGGTATTTCTTCTTGAAACCTTTGCTGCTTTTGTTTGTTTGACTTGGTAGGTGATGATTTATTAGTCGACTTATTAGTCTTGTCACTCGTCTCATTCAGATTACTTTCTTCTTCCGTTCTTCCCTGTTGACAATTAGATCATTCGTCCAGTGTTTCTTCTTGAAACCTCTGTTGCTTTTGTTTGTTATTTTTTTTATTGTTTTTTTTATTATTGCTATTATTTGACATTTTGATATTCACTCAATATTCGTTTTAAAAAATTGAAGCAGGTTCAATATCATCATATCATCCTATTTATAAATTTAAAAATCAAATCAATTAATAATAAGAAAATCGTTAGCGTCCTACTGCGTTGATTTCTCAAGAAAAATTAACTATAAATCATAATTAAAAAAGACAAATCAATTAATAATAAGAAATTGTTAGCGTTCTACTGTGTTGATTTCTCGATTGAAAAATCAACTATAAATCATAATTAAAAAATCAAATCAATTAATAATAAGAAAATTGTTAGCGTCCTACTGCGTTGACTTCTCGATTGGAAAATCAACTATAAATCATAATTAAAAAATCAAATTAATTAATTAATAAGAAAATTGTTAGCGTCCTACTGCATTAATTTCTCGATTGAAAAATCAACTATAAATCATAATTAAAAAATCAAATCAATTAATAATAAGAAAATTGTTAGCATTCTACTGCGTTGATTTTTTGAGGAAAATCAACTATAAATTATAATTAAAAAATCAAATCAATTAATTAAAATTAAGAAAATCATTAGCGTCCTACTGCGTTGACTTCTCGATTGAAAAATCAACTATAAATCATAATTAAAAAATCAAATCAATTAATAATAAGAAAATCGTTAGCGTCCTACTGCGTTGATTTCTTGATTGAAAATCAACTATAAATCATAATTAAAAAAGACAAATAAATTAAAATTACAAAATCTTTAGTGTCTTACTGCGTTGATTTCTTGAGGAAAATCAACTATAAATCATAATTAAAAAGTCATATCAATTAATTAATAAGAAAATCGTTAGCATCCTACTGCGTTGATTTCTCGATTGAAAAATCAACTATAAATCATAATTAAAAAAGACAAATAAATTAAAATTACAAAAATCTTTAGCATCCTACTGCGTTGATTTCATGAGGAAAATCAACTATAAATTATAATTAAAAAGTCAAATCAATTAATAATAATAAGAAAATCATTAGCGTTCTACTGCGTTAAAATTTGATATACTTTAATGCGGCAAGTTATACTTTATCAAAATTTGCAGTAAAATTGAAAATATTCCTTGTATATTTAGATTCTGTAGCAATATTGTTATTATAGCAATACCACTTAGATTAATACAAAATTGTTACTTTTCAACTTTTGCTAAAATTTAGTTTTTTTTGATAAGGTTTGTTTGGCATCCGAAAATAATAAAGGGATGATAAAGGGATGATAAAGTGATTATCTTGTAAATAAAAGTTATTTTAAAATAAAATAAGCTTTTTATTTTAAAAATAAGCTTTTTATTAAAAATAAGCTTTTTATTGTAAAATAAGCTTAAATCATATTGCAATTTTTAAAAGTATATTAATTAGAAAATTCGCAAATTTATTATATAAAATTGCCAAATTTGCGAAAAAAAATATTAAATCCTAAAAAATTATTGAAATAATCATAGAAGCCAGGATTACATTAATTATACATACAAATTATACAAATTTTATGTTATTCAAATTTTATAAAAATTGGCCTTTTTACAAATTTGGATTTTGCCAAACTTATTAAACTTATTTAAACACTAAACAAATGAGCAGAAAAAGGTTAGTCTCTAATATACTTGACGATCTTGATGATAAAGAATCACCTTCAAATTAGCCATCTTCTACTCGTAAAAATAGATCAATTTCTAGTATAATAAACGAAGAAATAGTATCTTCTGATAGACCAACAAGTAATAAAAGAAAACTAGTAGTTTGTAATTGTCCTAATTGTGATGGCAACTTGGTGAATTCTCACACAAAAGAAATTCATGATTCCAGACATCAAGAATACCAAGATTCGCAAGGTACAATTTCGTCTTAAGTTCATCAACTTAAAATAGGTGAAACATCAACACCCGCTTCAGCTGGACGAATGATTGACAAATCTATTAGACAAGAATTGAAAGAATCAGATAACAGTAATCAAGATGATGTTGATGATGAATATCAAGATGTCGAATTTAACTTCTTACCTCGACAACGTGCAAAAAAGTATATAAATCGTTCAGAAATTTCAGAAGATTCATCATCATCCGAATATACTACATTGTCTATAGGCAGTGAATCAGATAATGATCCAATTTCTGGAATTTCTGAAATTTTTGAAGACTATTCACCACCTAGTTATGAACCATTTCAAAACCCACCATATTCAGAATCGAATTATGATCAATTTTTATGGATATTACTTTGGATAATGAACTTTCAAACAAAATTCAATATAGCAGAGACAGATACTGAGACTCTAATAAAATTTATGAAATTGGCACTGTGAAAGTTCAGTAATAACGATTTTAATGATTTAACAGATTCACTTTACTTAACAAGAAAGAAGCTTGGATTAAACGACCAATTTCATAGTTTTGTACCTTGTCCGAAATGTCACAAATTGTATAAAAAAAGGAAGTGGTAGATTTCAAACAAGAGGACAATCCTGCTATAATGAAATGTCAACATATAGAATTTCCCAATTCTTCAGTTCATAGATCACGTCTTTGCAATATGGCATTGTCTGAAAAAATTAGTGTATCGATAAATCGAACAATAATACAACCTAATTTAATATATCAGTTTACTGGAATCAATCAACAACTTGCCACTATGTTTGTCGGCTTGAATTTGAAAATTCTCTCCGATATTAGGCTAATCGGTCAAATTTTTATAATATTTTGACCGATATATATGATGGGCAAGTGTGAAAGAATTTTAAAGAATCAGACAATGAAGATTCGCCAAATTTTTTCAGAAGCGAAGTGGCCAATTCTCATCTTAACTTGATGCTGAATCTTGATTGGTTTCAGCCATATGATAGTACTATTTATAGTATCGATGTCATATATGCCGCTATATGAATTTGCCACGCGATATCCGATTTAGACGTGAAAATTTATTAACTCTCGGCATTTTACCTGGGCCAAAGGAGGTCAGCCTACATAAAGTGAACCACTATTTAGCACCAATAGTTAACGAATTGGAAACACTCTAGACTGAATTAACACTAAATCGTACTTATGAATGCGATAATGGAAAAAGAGTTTGTGGCGCTTTAATCTTAGTATTATGTGACATTCCCGCTGCAAGAAAAATTTGCGGTCATGTTTCTGCCTTAGTTTTATGTCACAGGTGTGAGAAAAAAGCAAATTATGAAAATGAGCAGCATAATTTTGCTGGAATGCATAATGTAGGGTATTCTGCTCAAGATTCGAATGAATACTGGCAAAACGCATTAGGTTGGCGAAGATGCAATTCAGACGCTGCTAGAAAGCGCTTCGTCAAAGAAACTGGTGTTAGATGATCTGAATTGTTGTGTCTATCATATTTTGACCCTATTAGATTTATTACAGTCGATCTAATGCATTGCTTATTTCTGGGCATTGCGAAGTGGATAGTAAAACGAATTTGGATTGATGGGGGTATTTTGACACCAAATTCTTTGAACAAAATTCAGAAAAAGATGGATGAATTTCAGATACCATCTGATTTAGATCGAATTCCAGGAAAAATTCATAGTAGAGAAGGATTCACTAATTTTACGGCCGATTAGTAGCGAATATTTTTTACAATTTATTCAACTGTATCACTTTGGGAACACCTTTTAGTCGTAGATAGAAGAATTTTGACTCATTTTGTCAGGGTTTGTTTGATTTTGGTAAATCGGATTCTAGAATCTAATTTGGTGGATGAAGCCCATAGAAGTCTTATCGAAATAGTCAAATTAATTGAGAATCACTACGGCAGAGATAAGATCACACCGAATCTTCATCTTTCTCTACATTTGCGTGATTGCTCATCTGATTATGGATCATTATATGCGTTCTGGTGTTTCTCTTTCGAACATATGAATGGTATATTAGGTAAATATCCATTAACGATTTTTTAATGATTTTAACGATTTCAATATTAGCTTATAATTTATTGATTTCGCACTTTTAGGTTTATTACCAAACAAACAGCAACAGGAAAATTGAGTCTGAACTTATGCGCCGATTAATGTTTGATAAACAAATCAAAAATATCATAAGTTCAAGTATTGAAGTAAAAGGTCTTGAATTGCTAAACAGTCAGCGTACTATCAGGTCCCTTTCAGTTACTGATGAATTTTCATCAGATGAGATGCATCGATTTTGGCTGAATTCACAAAATATTAAAGATTCATAGATTTCTGGCAAAGAAGACTTCCTAGGTGAATTTCTCAAGCCGGTATCTCATAATATACTACTTTCAAGTGAAATGTTAAATTTAATGGTTGAATATTACAATACAACTTACAAATCATTTGAATTTTGGAGACTTCTTGTAGAAGGTTTAGATAACGATATAATAATTAGGGTCAAAATTAACCAAATCGGAAGATATCGGATTGGTTCTGAAGTCTTTGGATTGTTATTTTCATTAAAACATGTAAAAAGTTTGTACATCTTAGCGAAATTTATTACAGATGATGAAGATGTCGACACCTACTCAGGTCAAATTCAGTATTATTTTACTCACGTAGTAGACTTTCCAGATGGTCCTATCAAACATTTTCTAGTATACGTTCATTGGTATAAACATGCAAATTCAACCAATATTCGATACTATTTCAGCAGTGATGAAATTTGTAATGTTGAGTTGTGGAATACAGAATTTTATCCAATAAGTCGTGATTGTATAATACCTGTGCATCATATTTTAGGTAGATTTGTACCAGTAAGTTACAAAATCTCAAACTGGCAAAATGCAACTATGCAAGAGAGTATTTAGCCGTAAATCTAATTAGTAGAAAATACCAATTATAAACTTATAAGTTTTAGACATAAATTTATAATAAATTGAGTAATTGACTATAAATTTGGTGTTGATTTTTTCCGAATTTCTGAATTTTAATGATATTTGATGACTTTTTTTGTATCAATCAGCCGTCAATCAAATATAATAATTTTTTGCCGAATTTTTATCAAATTTTTATTGAATTTTTATTGAATTGTCAATTTTCCATAAATTGAAAGTACATATTTGAATATTGGGTAAATTTTAGGTTGATTTACCATTTTGTCCGATTTTTTTTTGATTTCAACCAGCATCAATCAGCTGTCAACCAAATATAATAATTTTTTGCCAAATTTTTATTGAATTTTTATTGAATTTTTATTGAATTGTCAATTTTCCATAAATCTAAAGTACATATTTGAATATTGGGCAAATTTTAGGTTGATTTACCATTTGTCTGATTTTTTTTTTATTTCAACTAGCATCAATCAGCCGTCAATCAAATATGATGATTTTTTGCTGGATTTTTATTAAATTGTCCGATTGGCATCAATCAGATGTGCCAATTTGTAATGTCAGTCGATTTTGGTTTGATTTTTAACTAATTTTCCATATGTCTGATTTTTTTGATTTCGACCAGTGAGATGAAAACTAAAACATGATTTATAAAGTCTAAGGTCAATGAATTCAGAGTATGGTTTCCAACCCTATCAGCAACTTTTTTTACAAAACCCCTAAGGTCTTTATAGTCAATAAAATAGGCATATTTATACACAATATGCCAACTGCATTTATTAGTATTAGACGAATTGGTCAAGATAAAAACATTTAAAATTATAAAATGTTTTAAGTCAGATTATATAATATTAGGTAATTAAGATCCTGGATAATAAATCTTCATGAGTAATTTTATATTTATCTAAGAAAGGGAGTTCAGGGTTCATTGGATCTGACTTTTGCCTTGTATTAATATCCAAAATGAGGCAGAAAGGCAGATTCCCATCAATGCATTCATGAGCATCAGGTAATCCATAAACTTCAGATGGATGATTGACTACCGTAAAACTCTTTCCTAATACTTAGACTATATATTTATCAAAAATTTCCTCAAAATAATAGGTACTAGAAGAGAGATATCATTTTTATTATTAGACAAATATTGAAAGTATACATGATTATTATAACCAGACTCATAGTTAAGGTTCGCTAACCCTAAAAAGAGCCTGATTGCTTCGTTTATTATTTTAGGGCTCAGCCCAGGATTTTTGTATAAGAAGCATGGTATATATGCAAGAAAGCAGTATAAAATAACAGAGAAACTTGGAAAGTTCAAAATAAAAAATGTAATAATGTATGACTCAAAAATGAAATAAAAAAATATGTAAAGCTGGCCTCCAATCTGATTATTAGCAGGAGTTAGCGTAAAAAATCCATTATAATTTAACTGGTTTTTCTGGTAAATTTCTGATAAACCTGGTAAAATCTTATAATTCTGGAATTGTTCCAGTTGTGGCATAGCAGATTTCTGGAATATTTTGTAAATACCGGAAATTTCATTTAATAAATTTATATTGCAAAAAAGTTTTTTATCTTTAATTTTATTATTTATTATTTCAGTAGTTTATTACAATATAATTATTTAAAGCCAGTACGTCTTTTCTGATTACTTCATATTGTATATGCACAAATAAAAAAAAGTTAAAAGATTATTATATATTTGGTAATACCATCTAAAACTAAAACTTTTTTTTAATTCCATACCGGTTGAAAAAATAAATTTCCAGAATTTTTATATTTAACTGGAATTTTTCTGAAATTTTTCCAAGGTTTTTTTCTGCGCTGGCAAGAATATACAATAAATATACTAAAATATACTAAATTATACTTGAGTGGCCTACCAATGCAGTGATATTCTAAAGTAATCAGATATAGGTATACCCCAAAATAGAAGTTAAAAGGCAAAAACAAACAAGTTTATAATAATTCATCCAAGCAGAATTATATATAGGAAAGAAAAGAGAAATTTCACTTGAGTGGCCTATTACTGATAGGCAGAAAAGAGATCAGAAAGGCAGAAAGGTTTAGAAAAATATGAGAAAAAGGATATGAAAACTGTATAGCCATCTTTTTTTCTCATCATAGTTCAAAAAAGATAATTTAACAGGCATGATATGACCTGGTAGAGTATCATCTATACAGGAAAAGATCAGAGAAAAACAGAAGTGAAAACAAGAATATAGATTTGGTAACTTACTCAAGCAGAATTATATATAGAAAAGAAAAGAGAAATTTCATTTGAGTAACCTACTACCGATAGGCAGAAAAGAGAACAGGAAGGCAGTAAGATTTAGAAGAATACACGGAAAAAGGTATAAAAGCAATATAGCTTGAACTAATTTGACACTTTACATGTATCTCACTCAGCAATCAAAAAGGTCATACAAGGTGGAATTGCAAGAATGGATACAAATTCGGCACTTTGTGTCTCATCCCTGACAATCAAATAGGTCATAAAAGGTAGGATTGCAAAAATAGCACAACACTAACACTTCACATATACCTCACTAGCAATCAAAAAGTGAGTGAATAGATTGCAACACATCTTTAGCAAATAGATGGATTGCAAATTTAGCGTGTTCCATCCAGCAATTAAGAAATGGCAAGCAGGGCGTTCTGGCACTAAAACAGTATCACGTAACTATAATATAATAATGTGCAGTATTAATTCGCTTCATTTTGGCTAATACTATTCCATAAATTTGGCCAAAAGTTTGGATATAATAATTCAGCATCTAAGCTAGTATAAAACTGGCAAACTAATAGAACTTCTCTGATATCTTACTAGTTCTATGACATTTCCTACCAGTTTCACGATAGTTCCATAACACTACTACGGCACTATCATGGCATTAAGCTAGATCCTCAAATTATGTGTCCAAAAGATCAGCCAGAATTATGACATAATGTCAGCCAAAAATAATTGCAGATCTACTGCGCCACCTGACATGCTTTTTTTCATTATCTTGATACCAATAAATGGGCCACATCTCAATCTCAAATATGATAACCAAAAGGGTTATAGAGTGGGAAAACAAACCTCACTCCTTTACAATTGTCAAAAGGCTTCAGAATGTGAAAACAAACCTTTATCTTACTTAGCAACTAAATAGTTACAGAGTATTAAAAACAAATGGATATCAACATGCTTATAAAAAGGCTATAGAATCTTGAAAACATATAACTATTAGGTAACAATATATTTATAACTAGATAACAATATACTCATGACTAGATAATATTATAATGCAACTGGATAACACTCTTATAAGAATGTTATCCAGTTAGCGAATATCGAACTTTTACTAGTAAACTCTGGTATATTAAAACTATATTAATATACGTGATTTGGTTTCAGTAAAAAAGTCCAGTTTAGGTCCAAATCTAATTTATCAAAGATCCAGTTTATCAAATTTCACTGTGTAAACAATATGTAAAATTTAAGATTACTTGCCAAAATTAAGTAATTTAAACTAAGACTAAAACTTTTTTATAGCTAGAAGTTTAGGTAAATTTATATAATGTTAAAATTTTTACTAAAAGGTTAAAATTTGGCCAAAATTATAATTAAACTTTATTATAATTCCAGCCAAAAGTAATGGTCAACATCAAAATTGACTTTTTTAGAAGTACGTATAATATTTTCTTAGAATTAAAATATCCTTTTTTGGAAATTTATGTAATGTCGGGTGATATAATGACATAATTTCGGCCGAATTTTAATTTTGGCCAAAATTAAGGACGAGTTTCGGAATTGATTTGATTGGCCGAAACCTTTCGGAATTTCCTTTTTAGTTTCGGCAGGCAACCTTACTTAAGTAAACTGATTACCAACAATTTAAGATATGATCCTATTCTAATCACCTAACCCTAATATAATTCTAATCCTAAACTCTAAAGAACCGGTACATAAATCCGGCTACCAATTTTTTAGAATTTAACCACGTGATAAATAATTGTCCACGAGGTGATGAATATCACATGATAATATTCTGGGGACTTGGGGACTAGTACCCCAAAAAATTTATTAAATATTCAAAGATAAGATAATCAAAAATCCCCAGCGTTGGGGATCATATGGGTTGTTCATATGACAATATTATGAATCCCCACTTTGTGTTGAGTTTCGTGACGTCGTTTGACGTCTTCGGTTCCATTTATAAACTGTGGATCCCAATTATGGTATTCTTCAAGAAAGAGAACATTTATTTAATCAACGCCAAAACTTAATTAGAACTTTTATGTAAACTGAGACCGCCGAATTTGGCGCCAAAATATCATACTCTGATGTGGGCCTTTTTTAGCACGCGAGATATATTATATATATATAGTCATGCTTTGCATGCACAATATGCAGATTCCTGATTAAATTTTTTTAAATCTATCTGAATTTACGTGTTAGTATTCGAACGTAAAGTTATAAAATTTCTTGCGTAGCAAACTTATTGTTTGTATACCGGCTTTAAAAGTCGATCGTGTTCAAGAAATTTTTTATTAGTAGCAATGGTCGGCTTTTTAGATTCAGATTATGTCGGGGAAGCCGGTCTTAGCAACCTGAAACTATACAAATATTCTGCAGTAGATAAGTCACCAATTGCAAACCATGTACTAAAACCATATTGGAATTGGGCAGTTACGCTTTTCCCCCTATGGATGGCGTGAGTTTATATAATATTCTCGTTCTTTAATAATGAATCGTAGACGTATATTAATTCTCAACGATATAATAATTTCATTGACGTCCGTTAGGCCAAATTTGATTACATTATGTGGTTTAGGTTTTATTTTATTAAACGTATTGAGTGTAATAATTTGGATTCCAGATCTCGTAGGCCCTGGTCCACGTTGGCTGTATTTGAGGTAATTAACCGTCTGGAGGATGATTTAATTGGGAAATTAAATTATATTCCATTCAAAAAAAAAAAAAAAAAAAA